CTTGGTATCAACATCACTCAGTAGTGGGTTACTGATTCTCGTTAGTTTGGTTTGTGATTTGATGGCCAACTAGTGGCAATGTTTTTTTTTCATGTCTCCTTAACCATTTTTCAGACATGCTTTAACTGATTTTGGTATGAACAACTTACATGATTGTTTTTTGATTTGAATGTCAAACTGGTTTATGTAAGGATTATACAATTTTGTGCAATATGTCATTATGAGAATACTCTTATTCCTAGGAGGTGTCACTTTGACTGAACAAAACCTAGATAAGATATCATTTGAAGTAACACCATATTTTTAACATGCTTCTCTTATAGTAGATGTTGTACTATGTATGCAATCTTATGTTGTACATGTATTCATTGTACACAGGTCCATCACCTTTAACATCACCAGCAAAAGAACGACTCAAGGCAACACCATCCATCAGCACAAAACCCAGGAAATCAAGAGGGAAATCATCAAGTAGGGGAAGACAGGGAACAAAGGGTAAATCTACAAAATCAAGAAGTGCATCCCTAGGTAGTAAAAAAAGGTATGTGTATAATATGTACAAATTATGACAGTATATAAACTACAAACATGCAGCGTGAGTGGCTTATGTGTTGTAAATGACCATTGAACTAATTTTTTCAACTGCTTTCATGAATTGGGGAGTCTCGGCCAATCAATTTGTACCTTCAGAGGTACTTTTTCTGCTTTCCAGTTTGACAAACTCTTATCATTGTTTGCATTTGGCTGATTTTGTAGCAAAAGCATTATTAAAACTTTTTCCTGTAGGTATCCTAGTCTTGTTGTATGGATGCACAACACATCAAAAAATAGTCTTTTTGAAACTCATAAATTCTGACCATGCTGGAAGAAAGCCTCCACTCTTAGATGTATATTCAGGGCAGGTACTCATGTTTACAGAGTAAATATTATTATTTGCAAAGGTCATTGATAATCGGAAAATTCTATTCTGTAAAAACCATCACCACACATTAGTATTGAAAAATACTTTTTTTTTATATATATAATGTAGAGTTAACAAGCCAACAACACAGACGTCAACTTTGACTGATTACTTCCCGGTAAGGAGAAGTACCAGGAGACCAAAATCAGAAATTAAGGTATTGAGTGTTTATATTGCAATTTAAAGAGGTAAAGTTGCATTTTTAAATAAATGTTGTGACCCAAAAATATGTCTGTATGCATGTATGTTATAAAAGTATGGTAAACTGATCTGTAATCATGTTCGCCTGCACGGTGTTGTTCCGTTCGGACATTCCTCCCTCTACAACACTGTGCGGTAATTCTATTCATAACAGTGTATGTCACGTGGTTGTGCGATAGAAAGTTTACCCCTACATATGCAACATATCTAAATTTGGTTGCTTAGAACTTCTTCAAAGTTAAATACAGTGTTCTCCCCAAAGCGTTTTAGCGTAGCGGGGCCGCTACTCCATTATTTATGCCGCTACTCTGAGAGATTGCCCGCTACTCTGTGGCATTTCCTGTTACTCTTTCTTTTAGCTTGTTAATACACGTGCGAATCTGTTAGTCAGCGTCATCAGCGTCCAGTACTGTGAGCCAAATCAGGTGTGAATGGAAACATGTCAGTGATTACGCAAAGACAATGGACTAATACAGCTTCGTACTTCGACAATAAACACTTTCGCCCTATTTAATTGGGGTTATAGCGAGTATTTTCTCAGTAGCATATTTGGCTGGAAGAAGCAACGATGTCAAACAGCAGAAATATTACGTTGTGGTTCCGCGTAGAACGCCCTGCTGGGCCCCTGGTTGCGAGCGATAAACCCACCAGCAACGCGGTCACCGGTACCCCTGTCGGCAGTGGTACTAAACGTGTCCAAGATGATGTTACAACGAAAAGTGCAAAAA